ATGTACTTCCATATGAATTAAAAATAGATTATTCGAAACCCTCATTTTCGTCGTATGGACTTTACTTGTCTATGACGCATTCTCGCTCAGTGCTAAGGCTATCACGGCTCGCTGAGGATTCCGGCAAAATATCTGGGAATGCACCAAGTCCACGGTCCGACGCTCGAAATCAGGATTACCATTGTAGGGGGTTCTTGACAAGTTGCGTTTTTCTAGGTACCTATTACAACATGTCTAAGTTTCAAAGTTGATGTTAAACCACTTATTATTCTAAATTTACTAATTATTTCATAGTCAACTCATTAGCAATCAGGCACATAATGATCTAAAAAATGTTTACTAGCTCTTAAAATATTTGGTTAAACAAATAAAATGCACTTTTAAAATTTTTAGCTACATTTATTCAAATATAGGTATGCAGACCAAGATGTTATGGTCTTTACTTGATTGTTGTCTTGTTTTCTAATTGACTCGCTTCCGCTGCTTGCCTGTGTTTGTTGTAGGACTTCCGTGGACGCACCTATTAAGCATAGGATATTCTAGCGGGTGCATTATCAAGATTTTACAAATAATTGTTGCCTTTATAACCACTCTGGATAAGCATTGAATTACTAACCTATAACTCCCATATCGACAAATCATTTATAAAGTCAACCCAACTTCGATTCTAGATTTGATGCCATGCCATAATTAATTGTATTATCATAGCTGGCTTTATTTCATCATATCTAGTTTTAGTGATTCGCTATTTACCTCGATTAGTCCTTACTTATTCTTTTTCTATATTATGTTGGGTATCACCAAAGCATTCTTATACCTGACCGTACTGCTTGAACTACTTCTGACTTTGCCATGTGTATGACTCAATTGCTCTTAATTCAAGTGATGTCCCGTTCAGCATTTTTTTGCCAAGGAGTATCATCCCTACTCTTTGTACTGTAAACCGGCCACATGGGATTATAGTTTTACTGTCTACATTCTTTTCACAAATTCATGCTTTTACCTTCCTCATTTGTTTTGGCACTTTATACTTAGCTTTGGAAGGACTTTAGGCCTGTAATAATGCCCTCTCCTGTATCATTTTTCATGCTTTTATTAACGAATAGGTTAGCAAGTCTACCTACAAGTTTTACAAAATAAGCATGAAATTATTAAACGACCTTATTTTACTTAAATGCCAAGTTTGTCCGTAAAGAAATATATGGCTTGGTGCAGATTTTTTTTCCTTAAATCTTTTTATCTTTCACTATTTTACAAAATGAGCTGTCCTTATAAAAGCTTATCGGATGTAATTGTTGGGGCGTATTACATGCCTTCTTATTTCTACATACATACCTTGCATTTAACATCCTATTTTGTAAAATCAATATTCTATCCATGATAGGTTTTGCAAGCTTGTCGTCACGTATTTAAAAGTTCTATTCATGAAACAGCTTGAACTGGGCCTTGCACTGGACCTTTTATTGTCTCAAATGCTTTTCTATAACTGATTCGATTGATCAATTGATCTAAATCCGTCACCTGCCTGACTTAATAAAGCTTATTTGAATGTAATTCTTGCCCATTTATTTTAATACAAAAAATTAATGCTTATTTATTGAAGGTCCAAACATAATGAAACATGTATTATCTAAGACTATATTAGAACCACGAATTTGTGATATTCATAAGATACGGTTAATTTCGAACTAAGGAATCGTGCTGCAATAATATTGCTTTTCTATATATCTAATTAAATAAATTTTGTTGTTTTATCGGTTTGTCAGAGTTATTTACCAAACCTATGATTTATCTGAAATAGTTAGAGAATTGTAAGTTTGAAATATGTTTGTTTATCCTTTTTTCCTGAAAATGATTGCATTTCCTCCACTCAGACGCCAATCGTTTCAATCTCGAGAAAGCAGGCTTAGATACTCCTAACAAATATATCTTCAGGCGTAGCGATGTTTCCTCGCCAAATAGCCAGTCGACTCATTCACCCACTTCTAGGACATCTATTACTAACTCCTCTGAATCAGCTTCTGCGTTGGCATCACATGCCGCCTCTGTAAACTTTTCTTTTCGTACGACATTCGATCAACTAAAAAATGAACAGAAACAATTAAAGACACTTGGGAATCCACCAATTTCTGAATCCCAGCCTAATGCTGGCTGCGTGTCTTCATCCGAAGCTCTGACTTCTTCTTACGAGCAATGTAGAATGGCGAATCTTCGGTTTTTTCGACTTGAAGAAGTCTACACTCCTGAGACTGATTTGACTCTAGATGAACTGCGAGCCTACCAGCTTTGCATCAAAACTGTATCAGATCAAGCAACCGTGGCAGATGACAATTCAGCTGAGATATGCCCACCTTTTGAGCTTAATTCAGTGCCTCTTCAAGCACCGAGTGAAAATATGATCTCTTTTCCAGCGATTTATTTGTTTCCCC